GACATGTTGTCCTACAGTCAGACATGTCCTACAGTCAGACATGTTGTCCTACAGTCAGACATGTCCTACAGTCAGACATGTTGTCCTACAGTCAGACATGTCCTACAGTCAGACATGTTGTCCTACAGTCAGACATGTCCTACAGTCAGACATGTTGCCCTACAGTCAGACATGTCCTACAGTCAGACATGTTGCCCTACAGTCAGACATGTCCTACAGTCAGACATGTTGCCCTACAGTCAGAGTTGTCCTACAGTCAGACATGTTGTCCTACAGTCAGACATGTCCTACAGTCAGACATGTTGTCCTACAGTCAGACATGTTGTCCTACAGTCAGACATGTCCTACAGTCAGACATGTTGTCCTACATTCTGAGACATGTTGTCCTACAGTCAGACATGTCCTACAGTCAGACATGTCCTACAGTCTGAGACATGTTGTCCTACACTCAGACATGTCCTACAGTCTGACATGTTGTCCTACAGTCAGACATGTTGTCCTACAGTCTGAGACATGTTGTCCTACACTCAGACATGTCCTACAGTCAGACATGTCCTACAGTCAGACATGTTGTCCTACAGTCTGAGACATGTTGTCCTACACTCAGACATGTCCTACAGTCAGACATGTTGTTCTACAGTCAGACATGTCCTACAGTCAGACATGTTGTCCTACAGTCAGACATGTTGTCCTACAGTCTGAGACATGTTGTCCTACACTCAGACATGTCCTACAGTCTGAGACATGTCCTACAGTCAGACATGTTGTCCTACAGTCAGACATGTTGTCCTACACTAAGACATGTTGTCCTACAGTCTGAGACATGTTGTCCTCAAGCTTGTCTCATGCTTCCACTCCTCTTCAGACTCATGCCTATGCACTTCCTCATCCTGCTCACAGTTGTCCTCCTGCTCACACTCTTCCTCCTGTTCACACTCGTCCTCCTGCTCACACTCATCATCCTGCTCACACTCATTCTCAAACTTGTCCTCCTGCTCACACTCATCCTCCTGCTTGCACTCATCCTCCTGCTCACACTCATCCTCCTGCTCACACTCATCCTCCTGCTCACACTCGTCCTCCTGCTCACACTCATTCTCACACTTGTCCTCCTGCTCACACTCATTCTCACACTTGTCCTCCTGCTCACACTCATTCTCACACTT